AATCACTTTTATCCACATTTAAATCAAGACCTGCACAGATGTTATTCAAATCTGAAGCAAACAGTGTCCGAAATTTCTCTTCTATCTCCTCAACAAGCTTTGCCCTGGCAGGCGACATACGCTGTACTTTGGACAATGGTTGAAAACTTTTACCATCGCTGCTTGGCTCTGCATTTTGATGATGTCCTTCAGCAGCTAGCGCAGGGGTGCCCATTACGCCGATCGCGATCGACCAGTAGATCAAGGACTGGTCCCAAGTCGATTGGTGAGGTGTGTGTGGGGGGGGGGGGGGACATTTGTGTCTCTGTGCATGTTAGTAATATATATTTTTGTGTTAATGCACACTGCACCCTAATCATTCTATCCGTTTCACTTTCACAAAATGTATTGAAAAAAAGAATATAAAATAAAGCAGGTAGTCTTTAACCTACGGTGATGTGTGATTGCGTCACCGGAAGTTGTTTGCGCTCAGCAGTCTGCAGTTGCACCTTGTGATCAGAGTAGTTGTGCTATATCTTTTATCATTATTATTTTCATTCACAGTTTGTTTTGTACAATTCACCGAGGGGACGGGCAAAGAATGGGAACCTGGAGGGCTGAGAGAGACATTTTAAAATGGTACACGTGAGCTACGATCGTTAACAGGCTGCCTAAGTACATGGGATGCCTCAGCGTCAGGCTATTCGCAGCGCAGAGTTCTCCGATGACTCTGCGATTGTTGGCCTCATTACAGAGGGGGACGATCGGGAGTACAAGCGACTGACGAAGGACTTTGTGGACTGGTGCCAGCAGAATCAACTCCAGATCAACCCTAGGAAAACTAAGGAGTTGGTTGTGGATTTCTGCAAGCAACAGTCCTCACCAGCACTGATGAACATCCAGGGTATGGACATAGAGAGGGTGACCTCCTACAAGTACCTGGGTGTTCTTCTAAACAACAAACTGGACTGGTCGACTAACACGGACACCCTGATTAGGAAAGGTCAGAGCAGACTTTTCCTACTCAGGAAACTGAGGTCTTTTGGGGTTCAGGGGTCACTCCTTAAGACTTTCTATAACTCGGTGGTGGCCTCGGCCATCCATTATGGCATTGTCTGCTGGTCAGGCAGCATCTCGGCCCGGGATAGGAAGAGATTAGAGCGACTAGTCAGGAAGGCTGGTTCTGTCCTGGGCTGCTCCCTCGACACTCTGGAGGAGGTGGGCAACAGCAGGATGCTAGCTAAGCTAAAAGCTATGTTGGACAGTCCCTCCCACCCCCTCCAGCCAGCCCTGACAGCACTCGGTAGCTCCTTCAGTCAGAGACTGTTACACCCGCGTTGCAAGACGGAGAGATACCGCCGCTCGTTCCTACCGACTGCTGTCAGGCTGCTGAATAAAAAATGAATAAACAAATGAATCATAGAATTATTTAAATGATATGACAACATATGTGAATAGTACTGTGACTATTGTATTATATTGCACTTAATTATTGACCTTATCCATGTTTGTATTTATATTGCACTTAATTGAACTGTGTTTTATTTTCTCTTCTTTCTACCCACAATCTTGCTGCTGAAGGCTGTAAATTTCCCCAGTGTGGGACAAATAAAGGATATCTATTCATCATGGCATGCGTGTGTACGTGCGTGCGTATGCGCGCGTGCGCGGTAACGGGTCGATCAGGGGGGATTGGTTGATCGAAAAGTAGAACTTAGGTCAAAAAAAGTTTGGGCACCCCTGAGCTAGCGTTAGTGCAGCGAGTTACTTGCGTCCGGTGACTGGGTTTTCTTCACAGTAAAATCAGGCGGAAACATCAAGATTTTGTACCCTCAAAAGAAAGACACATCTCTGTTCTTCGTTTGGGCAACTTTACTTTCCCAGTTCAGTTCGAGTGTACATTAAGCAGAGCCACACGTCGAGAGGAGCCAGATGAGGTGGCTCGAGCATCTGATTAAGATGCCTCCTGGACACTTCCCTGGTGAGGTGTTCCGGACATGTCCCACCAGCAGGAGGCCCCAGGGACGACCCAGGACACGCTGGGGAAACTATGTCTCCCAGTTAGCCTGGGAACGCCTCAAGATCCCCCGGGAAGAGCTGGAACAAGTGGCTGGGGAGAGGGAAGTCTGGGCTTCCCAGCCAAAGCTGTTGACCCCACGACCGACCCCGGATAAGCGGTAGAAAATGGATGGACGGATGGATGGATGTGCGTTAAGCATTTAGCATCGAACAGACACTGGTTATCTATTTTTTTCCTCCTCTTTTCCCGCACATCTTCGTGGCCTTCGTTGATTCCCTCTCCTTCTTGATGACATGATGAGACACTTGAAATCTAAAACTCTGGGTCCCCCAAAAAACTGGTGTAATTGTAGAAAATGTGTACAAATAAAAATATGACAAAATAAAAATGCTCCTCTTACTGTGTCTTTTCACACATGAATGAAATATAAATCCTTACAAACTTCTAGGACGCAACACTGGGAGGACAAAAAAGAGTTTGCTGCACTTGGATGAACTCAGTCCTGTTAACAAAGAAGTTAGTCCTGAAGTCCTGAAAGACAGGGTTGCTTCAAGGCAGCAAGTTTTCTGTCGCACATTTTTCATTTCTTGGCACAGAGGGTTGACTTTTTGCAGCGAGTTACAGGATGTTACGACCCTTCCACACGATGCCAACAAAGGAAGGGTCTAAAGCAGCTGTGCTCAACCAGTTGATAGCGATCGACAGGTAGCCTGCATACTGGTCCCAAGTCGATCACAAAGGGTGTAAGGGGAAATGGAAAAAAAAAAAAGATTTGTGTGTCTGTATTCGTGTTATTGATATTACATATTTATTAATATATTTTTGTGTCTCTGCTCTAACACAGGGGTGACCAACCAGTCAGAGACTAAGAGCCAATTTTTTTACTGTGTAACTGCAAAGAGCCACATCGCGCGCGTGCGCGCACGCACGCACGCACGCACGCACGCACGCACGCACGCACGCACGCACGCACGCACGCACGCACGCACGCACGCACGCACGCACGCACGCACGCACGCACGCACGCACGCACGCACACACACACACACACACACACACACGAGCTGCAGTGGTTACTTACTACTTGGGTCAGCTTGCTACGTATTTGACTGAAGATCGACTTTTGAAGCGATGAACCTCCCGCGACCGACCCGATCACGGATGTCCAAGTATATACACGCACGCACACACACGGGCGCCCAACCACGCACACGTGTGCATACGCAAGCACGCACGCCGAGATGAGCGACAGCCGGAACGTCACCGAACATGAACGGAATCGAAACACACACACAGTTTTTTTCACCCCCTATTTCATCCTTCCAACATTCACGCTCGACTTGGGACCAGTCCGCTGGCTCCCGGTCGATCGCAATTGACGTATTGGACACCACTGCCTTAAAATCGGAGGTAATTCGCTGACCTGCTTAGCGTTGAGCGCAAAGCACCGTGGTGTGTACATGAGCGGTGAGTCAGTTGTCATCTGATTGGTTTCCCTGTATGTCAATCAAGTAACAGGATTGATGATAGGCTGACGTAGTAAGTTCTGTGTATTTAACGACGTGGTTTGAATGGCATCGCCACTGCCGAGGCGTTTTCGACACTTGTCATTTGAAAGCCCAAGAGCCGCATTGAGCCAGCCAAAGCGAGCCGTGGGTTGGAATTTCATTTGTTTATTTAAACTACTTAAATAAATTACATTTTCTATTACGTGAATTTATTGAAAAATCGAGAAATATTTTACGGTGTCGTAAATCTATGAGTTTCACTTTTTGAACTGAACTACATTTTCTAGGATATTTTAATTTATTGAGATTAACCTGTAGGTCACTATAAAAATGTGTTGCGTAGATCAATTGGTTGAACTCCTCTCCCAGTGTCTGGTATTCAGTCTGATTTAAGACTTCAAAAATGCAAAATGCAAATGCAACTGCAAAAATGCACGAAATGGTTGATCTCATCCTGAACTAAGGTCACAATCTTGGCATAATTCAGTTCTCTACGATGCAAATCGAAATGAATCTACAAGCAACCCCCACACAAGCAAATTCAGTAAACTCCATGCAGAAATTGCCCATTTATTGATATCACAACAAGTCATGTGCAATGTGCCATATAATGACCATTAAATATCATATTTACATACCGTATTTTGCGCACTATAAGGCGCACCGAAAAGTCTTCAATTTTCTTAAAAACTCACAGCGCGCCTTAAAATCCGGTGCGCCTTGTGTACGGTCATTATGGTAACATGTCGACCCCAAGATGGGCCCTCGCTGGAGACAGGCTTACAATGTTATAACTTGCTGTTGGTTCAGTGAACTGTGTCACTGCTTTAGTAAATAAGTTTTTGTTGCAGCTCCGAAAGAATGAGAGCTGTGGTGCTGTTTTTTTAAAAACGCACACTTTATGAATGTTTTTCAGTCTCAACAAATACAGTTACGTCTGTCCGTCTCCGTGCCTTCTCTTCTTCCTTCGACTCGAGAGGCGTTCATGACCGCCTCGGAAAAACGTAAATTAACGATTCCTTCTTGAAACTACGAAAATTGAAAATAATGCATCAAAACAGAAACTCAAGCGCGGAAATCACAAAATAAATTCTATAGCCCCCCTACAGAATTTATTTTGTGATTTCCTCGTTTGTGAATACAGTACACAACAAAGGAATAAATAAGCACTTCTGAGACAGTCCAGTCTCCTACAATTTACTGACATCTGATCGTTCTGTTGCAGCTAGGCCCAAGGAAATGCCAAAATAAATTCTGTCGTGGGGCTATAGAATTTATTTTGTGATTTTCTGTTTTGATGGTATTTTCATTTTTTGTAGTTTCATTGAAGTAATCGTGAATTTACGTTTTTTTGGAGGCGGTCATGAACGCCTCTCGAGTCAAATGAAGGGCTGTAGCTTCATCTAGTGGATGCATTGTAGATTGGGCCTTATAGTCCAGTGCGTGCAATATATGAAAAAAATTACAAAATAGCCCATTCATTGAAGGTGCGCCTAATAATCCAGTGCGCCTTTTAGTGCGGAAAATACGGTACTTAAAATACACTTGGCAGCATCTAGATAATGACAACTCTTATGAATACTGCTGACTGATTATAAACAGATGCTCAAATCAAGGATGGCATTAAATACTCTTATTTGCTGTCCTTAGAACTCTAACGATAACAGGACAATATAAGCCTTGTGGTCTCAGGACTTGGGCAGGCCAAAGAGGTCCATGTTCTTTTTGAAGATGGTAGAAAACTCTTCAGACAGGAGTTGGTGCAGGCTGATGCCATCATGACTATAGACCCAACCACGACCTGTCCAATCGTAGCGTTTTGGTCCACTGAAAATACAAAGAGAACCAAGTAAGGCTTGCAAAATGCAGTAATTGTGCTGAATAATAAATATACTGAGGCCACTAAAGCGGACTCCTTCAAGGCCTTGGCTGCGCCCTAAAAGTTAGTAACAGAATAGGTGATGACAAAGACAAAATAAGATAAGAAAACCTTTATTTGTCCCACACTGGGGGGGAAAAAACAAAACAAAACAAAACTACAAAAACACAAAGGGCAGCCTTGTTGCAGTTCAACCCTCACTGCAAACGATTCCAACTTATTACTGACAATGCAGGGTAACAAACTCTGACATCGGTGGTGAGGGAACTGAATAGCCCATATTACTGGGCTCGGTACGCCGTAGACCCGAAGTAACCTCCACAGAACTCCCCAAGGAACACAGTCAAATGACTTCTCCAAGTCCACAAAACATGTAGACTGGTCAGGCAGACTCCCAATGCCCCTTCAAGAACCCTGCTGTGGGTGTAGAGCTGGTTCACTGTTGGAACATATGCTCCGGTCCCCCTTCTTAAAAAGAGGGACTGCCACGGTCTTCCAATCCAGAGGTACCGTCCCTGATGTCCACGCAATGTTGAACAGCATGTCAACCAGGACAGACCCACACGATCCAGAGCCTTTAGGAACTCCGGGCGGCTCTCACCTTTCCAACCAAGGACGGTTTTAACCATATCGGTTAATTCAACCCCTGAGATAGGAGAGCCAACCTCAGAGACTCCAGGCTGTTTCTGCAATGGAACGTGTTTTGATGGAATTTAAGAATTTTCCCCATGACTCAGAACGTCCCGAGTTGAGGTCAGCAGCACTCCATCTCCTCTATAACAGTGTTAATTGTGCACTGCTTCCGCCTCCTGAGACGCAGGATGCTGGACCAGAATTTCATAGAAGCCATCCGGAAGTCATTTTCCATCGCCTTGCCGAATTCCACCCATGCCTGAGTTTTTGTCTCAGTGACCACCAAAGCTGCATTCGCGTGGCCAGCCGGTACCTGTCAGTTGTCACAGGTCAAAAAAGCCTGATAGAACTCTTTCTTCAGCTTGACGGCATCCTTTACTGCCGGTGTCCACCAGCGGGTTCAGAGATTCCCGCCACAATAGGTACCAACCTCCTTACGGCCACAGCTCTGACCGGCCGCCTCAATAATGGAAACATGGTTCATACTGATTCAAAGAGAACTTCCTCAATGACACCTGCCTCCACTGGGACGTGGCCAATGTTCTGACGGAGGTGGGAGTTGAAATTCTTTCTGATAGAGGACTCTGCCAAACGTTCCCAGCAAACCCTCACAATAAGTTTTAGGTCCATTGGACCCAGCACACCACGAGGCGGTGATCAGTTGACAGCTCCAACCCTCTCTTCAGTAGTCAATACATGCAGCCGCAAATCCAACGACATGACTACAAAGTCGATCATCGAACTGCGGCCTAAGGCGTCCTGGTGCCAAGTGCACATATGGACACCCCTATCTTCAATCCGTGATGAGCACATAAGTCCAATAACAGAACACCACTCGTATTAAGACCGGGGGGGCATTCCTCCCAAACACGCTGTTCCATGTCTAACTGTCATTGCCCAAGTGAGCACTGAAGTGCCCCAGCACAGAACAGTGGAGTTCCCAAGGACTGCAAAAACATTGGGTACTGTGAACTGCTGTTTGAGCCAATCGCAGGGTACACATAGAGATCCAATCATTCACACTTACACTCACACCAAGAGACAATTTAGAGCAGGGGTCCCCAACCGCCGGTCCGCGGACCGGTATCGGTCCGCCGGGCATTTGGTATCGGGCCGCACAGAAAGAACTTGCCTTAATTCCGTTTTATTTATTTCGGAATACGAAAGATGTTTTATTTTGAAAAACTACCGGATTCTCCGTTACATCCGTCTGTGTCACACTTGACACACATCAAGCCACGCTTCTCCGTCACGTGACCGATTACTTCAAAACAAAACACAGGAGCTCGCAAAATGAGTAAAAAAACTGCTGGATATCGCAAATGACGGCGGCCTTAAAAGTACGTTCGAGACAACTGGATTAAAGTTATGGCTGAATACTCTGAGGGCGCCACAATAGCACTGTTGCTATTTCCGACATGCTACCTGTGTGAGGCGGGGGGTTCTGCAGCAACGGCGACGAAAACAAAATTACGAAGTAGACTGGACATAAACCGACGCTCCTTGTGTTTATCATTATATTTTGAAAACACCACAGTTTTCATGCAGCTCATACCATATTATTTTGTTGTATTATTTCCACCACACCTTAAATGCCGGTCCCTGAAAATATTGTCTGACATAAACCGGTCCGTGGGGCAAAAAAGGTTGGTGGCCCCTGATTTAGAGTGTTCAATCAGGCTGCCATGCATGTTTTTGGAATGTAGGAGGAAATCGGAGTACCCGGAGAAAACCCACGCAGGCACAGGGAGAACATGCAAACTCCACACAGGAAGGCTGGAACTGGAACCGAACCCTGTACTGCTGCACTGTGAGGCCGACGTGCTAACCAGTCGACCACCGGGCTCTTGCACGCACGCACGCACGCACGCACACTAATAGGGTATGTAAACTTATGAGAAACAAACTTGGGCAATAAAGATTAGTCTGATCGTGATTCCCCCAAGAGGTGTTTCAAATAGTAGTTTGGTTTTCTCATTCAGCAACACATGAAGGTCAAAACATTGGAAACAACAATCTGTACAATGCAGTTCTATGCCATAGAGAATTTCAAACCCAATAATAAACTATGTTAAATAATACATGCCTCACAATGTAAATGAAACCAGCTTGTTTTTATGCAGTTCTTCGATCACGTTTTATTAGATTGTGCAGGTGGTCATATTGTTGTGGCTGCTCAGTATACAGTGATCCCTCGCTCTAACGCGGTTCACTTTCTGCGGCTTCACTGTTTCACGGATTTTTTTAGTGCAGTTTTTTTTAATGCTTTTAAACAGTGAATTGCGTTCTGCATCCTGACTGGCTAAGGCACTGACCGACGTGAACAGTTTCCGCACCCCGTCTCTGTACAGCTTGCCAAATTTACCTTTGCAAATTTTTGGTCTTTGGTTTCATTGTATCAGTGGCGGATGCTGGTCTGTCAAGGAGGGGAAGCTCAATTTCGGCCTACATCATAAAATGTGTCCGTTTATTAACACGTGAATTCCACTCTCTGTTCCTTTTCAAAAAAATGAGAAGGTTGCATTCACCAAAAGATCGGTGATTGGCTCATTTCGCTGTCAATCTAAAAGAGATTCAGCCTCAGACAGCTCATCCAATCATCATGCAGAAAAGCTCAGCGTCCGGGCCCGCCCATAAACGCCCACTGTCCATAGACTCCCAGAGACGCTGAGCGTTCAATGGGCGGGACAAAACCAGCATTTATCCAATGACTCGTCTCGTTTCAATGCAATGGGACAACCTAACCTAAACTCTCTAGACGCCCAGCTCCGCGCGGTCGACGCTCAGCATCCACACAGTTTTAAGCACAGTGAAGCTGTGGGAATGAATGAGAAGAGAGTCGCGTCGTAACCAGTAATAAGAAGCTTATTCGGAACAAAAGTTGAGCGCCTATTTAGTCAATGACATGTCCACACAATTGCACGTTCACACATATATTTGATCACTTACTTTTTGACATTTTAGGGGAAGCTGAGCTTCCCTTGCAGTCTTAGCGCAATCGCCTCTGCATTGTATACATAGTTCAGTATTGTATAATAACTGTAAAAAATAAAGCTGACTATCAAGTACAAAGTACAACTTTATTGTAAAATGTGTATACAGCACATTTGAAATTTCGTGCCTCTCACATTTTTTTGCTTTTTTTTTTTTTTTTTATAAATCCTACTTCACGGATTTCACTTATTACTGGTTCTTTTTGGAACGTAACCCCCGCGATAAATGAGGGATTACTGTATACCAGAATGTATTATCTGGTCTCACCTTGTTGGAGATGCCAACCAAATCTGTCTGTTTGGCGTTTGCTTGTTGATGACATAGGTTCCATGGTGACCACCCACTTGTACCGTCAGCACACCACTCTGCAGAAGAAAAGGGACATGTTACTGGAAACTAAAAAAATTGGCTATTTCTACGTTCCACTAGGATGTGCTTTACACTGCTTTGAAGATATTTGCCCCCTCCTCAGGGGTATTTCAGAGGACACTCCGACAGTTAATATAGACTAGATCAGACATGGGCAAACTACGGCCCGCGGGCCGGATCCGGCCCGTTGGTCTTTTTAATCCGGCCCGCCGAAGGTTGGTACAGTACACAATTAAGGTTCGATGTAAATTATTGCATTCATTTCATTTGGACTTGTAATACAGGCATTTAAACGCCAGGTGGCGCAGTTACTTGAAGTCACAGAGAACAAAGAGGGAGGGGGAGACGATACGGAAGCCCGGAGTAGCACTAACTCAAGTAAGTCGCGCTCGATACGACGAAATAGATGTATCCCCACCGCTATTTTCTGTCATTGGATCCAAAACGGCGACATGCAAGCGACTCTTTGTTGCAGTGAGTTTTACTGGAATTGCGAACATTTTTACATCCTTTATTAGAGCATGGCATCCAAACAAAGAGGAGCGGTAATGGCCGCGGAAGAGAAAATGAAGTGTATCTCATTAAACAAAGTAGGTTACGAAGTACGAAACATTCAGGAGACGCTTGGAGTCTGGAAGACTCAAATCTACGAGACTTTGAAAAACGAGGAAGCGATTCTTGCTCAGTCCGATTCGGGCTATTTCCATGCTCAGAGTGAATTGCTTGCGGCTCGACGGACAGTCAAGTAAATGAACGTTTCCTGAAATGGCTTGACTGTTATCGTGCTAAAAACTTTTCGCAAACTGGACCGCTAATAAGAGAGAAAGCGAGTTCCATAACGCTAACTATGGGCATTGAAGAGTGAGTGGAAAGGAAAGCCACCAGGTCTTTTACTCGTCTCATTTTGGAGCAAATAGTCCTACCTTTGTTATATTTTCTCATATACTGTACCTGTACTGTATGCCGCAGTTTTTGGACAATATATTGTTGCACTTTGTTGCTTGTGTTGTCACCAATGTATGTTGTTAACATACCGTACTTGGACGTTCATACCGGACATATACCATAGTTATCTCACTGTTCTCATGAAAAAAAGTATGGTAATACTTGAATGCTTTTGTTCTGTTGATGTTTGGTATGGACTGTCAACATATACGTTTTTTTATATGTACCATATCTTGTGCTGACCCGGCCCACCTGTCAAATTTAGAAATCAATATGGCCCTCATGTTCAACTAAATGTAATTGAATACACCAAAGACAAGATATTTAATGTTCAAACTTTTAAACCTTATTGTTTCTAGCAAATGATCATTGACTTCGAATTTTATGGTTGCAACACATTTCAAAAGGCAGGGACAGGGGAAAAAAGACTTTTAAAAATTGAGGAATGCTCAGCAAATTCAAATTTGGAACATCCCAGTAGAGAACAGGCTAACTGGGAACAGGTGAGTGCCAGGAGGCCCTTCCCCGAATTGCTCAGTCATTTACAAGCAAAGATGGGGCAAGGTTCCCCTGTGCGGAACAGTTTTAAGGACAATGTTCCTGAATGTACAATTGCAATGAAGTTTGTGATCTCATCATTTCCGGTCCATAATATCAGCAAAAAAAAATAAGAGAATCTGGAGAAATCATTCGATGTAAGCGGCATGACCATAAACAACATTGAATGCTCGTGACCTTCAATCCCCCAGGCAGCACTGCATCAAACACCGACATAAATGTGTAAAGGATATCACCACTTGAGCTCAGGAAAAAAAACTGTCAGTAAATAAAGTTTGCTGCTACATCCATAAGTGCAATTTAAAACTGAACTATGCAAAGCAAAAGCTATTTATCAACAACACCCAGAAATTCAGTCAGTTTCTTTTGGCCCGACCTCATCTCAGCTGGGCTGATGTAAAACAGAATGTGTTCTGTAGTCTGATGAATCCACATTTCAAATTGTTTTTGGAAATTGATGGACATCATGTCCTCCAGGCCAATAAGGAAAAAAAAAAAACGTGGACTGTTATAGACTTGTCTAAATTGCCTTCTTTAAAAAAAAAAATAAAAATCTAGTTAGCCAAACATTCATAGCTGCACAGATCTGTTGGAGACTTATGCAGAGATTGGCCACTGTCAGTAGAGAGATTGTTGGAGATGAACGCATTTCATACTTTTTCTGGTCTACCTGGTCTGTCACATTTTGAACAATTATTAAAATATATTATTTGTGCAGTGATTCTTTTCCCCATGTCCAATGTAATAATATGAACATAGATACTCAGGAAGAATGATCAACACTGACTTACAGAGAGCACAACATCATAGTCTGGTCCAGTGAAAGGTTCATCCATTAAGTCTTCAAAGTAATCAGCCAGTGCATCCAGCGTCTCATCAGCCAGCTTCTCATAGGCTGCCTCTGACAATTCACTGGGAAACAGATTTACAAAATCAACAACAGCAGTGTTGACCATTGTCACAGAATATACACATTTTGTGTGTGTGTGTGTGTTTACTTTTTGTCCTGAGAGAGGTGCTCTTCCAGTCTTGAAGCTGACAGATGGATAATTCTCCTACAGCCTTCAATTTCAGATGTTAATGGAAAGCACTATGACAGAAAGGAGTAATTTCAGTTAAATGTTGCATCACAGCATATCTCCTTTTAGCATGTAAAAGCAGATTATACAGTTGTAAATATGTACTGAAGAAGTACGGTGGTACATTGCAAAATGGGAACTAGGTAAACGCCCTGTTACTCATCTGGCTTCAGGGCTGAATTAACTAAGAGTGAAGTGTCGATAAGCTCCACCATTAACGGTTCTTGAAGAAATGACTAAAATCTATTTTTGATTGATTTATGTTATATGAACATGATGTTGCACTTTTTAGCTCTGTAGTCTTGTTTTAAACTTGCGGTAAAATTAAGATATTAGTGTAAGAAGCAATATCGCGATTGGAGGCAGTCAAGCCATCTCGGCCATTCTAGCACCGAGTGCAGGAGGCTTGACTGGCTCCTTTCTTTGCCCGTGGAGTGCTCGGGCCCGGCGGAGAAGCTCAGGGAGGTAAGGTGGAGTGAGGTCATTTAAAGATTTAAAAACAAATAAGAGGGAGCCAGTGAAGAGATGCCGGAGGAGGAGTTATGTACTCCCTCTTACCAGTCAAGAGGCAAGCAGCAGCATCCTGGACCAACTGGAGACATTTAATGGAGGATTGGCTGACTCCAAAGTAACGAGCATTACAGTCATCCAGCCGGGATGTGACGAAAGCATGAAATACTGTTTCAAAGTGCTCATCAGAAAGGAGAGGCTTTACTTTAGCCAGCTGCCTAAGATGAAGGAAGCTGGATTTAACAATAGCACCAATTTTGCGGGTCCAATTTTAAGATAAAAGTCCACTTTAAGACCCAAGTTTGAGACTGTTTGTTTAAGATTAGGCGCCAGGGGGCCCAAGTCTACAGGACGGGATGTAAAAGGGCCACTGGTGCCAAAGATCATCACTTCTGTCTTCATTTCATTGGAATTCTAGAAATTTAGTGCCATCCAGGTTTTGATTTCCTCCAGGCAGGATAAATGTGGCCTTAATGAGAAAGCTTCTTTTTTGCTCAGCAGGACATAGATCTGACAGTCATCCACATAGCAGTGGAAGGAAATACTATGTTTCCTTCAGATGGAACCCAATGGGAGCAGATACAGTGGGAACAGCAGAGGCCCCAGAATTGAGCCCGGTGGAACATCACACGACAGTGGGGCAGTTCGTGACTCAGCGCAACCAAGGCTAACACAAAAGGTTCTGTTAGCTAAATAGGACCTGAACCACTCAAGGGCGCTACCGCCAATGCCCACCAGTTGCTGCAAATGAGCCATCAGAACACTGTGATCCACTGTATCAAATGCTGCAGTTAAATTCAATAAAACCAGACACAGTAGTCTCCACTGTCATTTGCCAGGAGGATGTCATTAGAAACGCGTAACAGGGCTGACTCTGTGCTATGCATCGTCTTGAAACCTGACTGGAAGACCTCCAAGACGTTATGTTCATCCAAGAACAATTTTTGTGCACTACTTTTTCCAGAATAGTTTTTCATGAAAGGCAGCTTGGAAATGGGCCTAAAATTTGACAGTAAATCTTGATCAAGACCAGGTTTCTTGATCAGAGGGTTGGACCACAGCATGTTTAAACTGTTGGGGAACTGTAGCAGAAGAGAGACTGCTGTTGATAATGGCCAAGTCCGATGTACCAATATTCGGGAGAACCTCCTTAAAGAAATGCGGAGGAAGAGAGTCGCAGGGGGAGTCATCCTACATGACAAACGTATGGTAAGAGTCAATAAAAATTAATAAATGAAGAAGTGGGTGAATGCAAATAAAGAATACCACTAATTTAGGAGAGCAAAAATAAACCACGCAAAAAAAAAAAAAAAAATGTGATTAACTACTTAAAAAAAAGGTCCTGAAGGCAAGATGTGTACGCCTTCAAACTACAACAGCAAAGCAGTTTGCATTTTGAGCCTCGGCAAAACACAAAGAATAGCAAAACTGAGAATCGAAGATTTTTACGTTTGTCCTCTAAATCAACGGCAGTGACTGTCTCCCAAAAATATTCATTGAGCTGCTTATGTCACCTGTAGCCCGGAAGTTGTCAAGTTGAGGCGAGACGACGTCACAGCGAGCTAGAGCTAGCAATAGCAAGTTTAGCAAGAAGGTTTAACCACTGCCTGCGAAACCGTTGCAGGTTCGCTCCTAACTCAGGAATCCTCACACAGAGATTACGAGGAGTAATTATCAGAGGGAAGGACCCAGAAGCCATGCTACTTGCTAAGCTAACGTTATGTTATCAATCGTGCAAGATCGAATTAAGTATTTGCGTGAAAGAGTACCCTTCACAAAGGTTTCGCTGGACCCCGTTAAAGCGGAGCCTATCCGACCTTGAACAGCAAACCAGCAGGCAATTTATTAAGTGTCTGAAAGAAAATTAATACAAAATAATGCTACATATACAGCTAAACAGGAAATGGTCCCACGCCGCGTACATCAGCTAGGAGCAGTGGCTTAGAATATTAAAAGTATATTAATTATGAGGATAAGTGATTCAGAAAAGAGATATACAGCAGGGGTCCCCAACCTTTTTTGCCCCACGGACCGGTTTATGTCAGACAATATTTTCAGGGACCGGCATTTAAGGTGTGGCGGAAATAATACAACAAAATAATATGGTATGAGCTGCATGAAAACTGGTGTTTTCGAAATATAATAATAAACACAAGGAGCGTCTAATCTGGCCGCAACACTCCAATCGCTATGGCAATGTTTAATGCCTTCAAAATACGATACAACGCAAATTCAAAGTGCATGAAAATGACGACTCACCACAGCACCGAGCTTGATTTTCTGCAACCAGACGGTCCCATCTCGGGGTAATAGGAGAGACAATGACACCGCAAGTGTGTGGTTTATGTCCAGTCTACTTCGTAATTTTGTTTTCGTCGCCGTTGCTGCATAATCCCCCCGCCTCACACAGGTAGGATGTCGGAAATAGCAAAAGTGCTATTGTGGCGATCTCAGAGTATTCAGACATAACTTTAATCCAGTTGTCTCGAACGTACTTTTAAGGCCGCCGTCATTTGCGATCTCCAGCAGTTTTTTTACTCATTTTGCGAGCTCCGGTGTTTGTTTTTAGCCTAATTGGTCGCGTTACGGAGAAGCGTGGCTTGACGTGTGTCAAGCTGGACACAGACGGATGTAACGGAGAATCCGGTAAGTTTTCAAAATAAAACATCTTTCGTATTCCGAAATAAATAAAACGG